AGGACACTGGGGCCATCGATTTTCAACCAAGACGGACGCCTGCCACGGGAGCCACGCGGGCCAGGTTCCTCTGCAACGTGGCGCAAGCCATGGAGCAGGACCAGGCCTCCATCGGCGGCCAGGTGGCGCTCGCGAAGGTGCAGTCCACTCGGACCTTGGCGCCTCGGATTTTTGGTTTTCGTCGGAGGCCCCGAATTGAGTCGGGCCGTGGGCTTTTGGGGAATTTCCCTGGGTTGAAAGGTGTTGGGGGAAGTGTTTTTGGCTTTAAAGGGAAACCAAAAGGAAGACCAACTTTTTGGGGTCCCAGGAGTTTGACACGTAAGCCAGCGACACCAGGCAACATTTGATCCGTTGATTCTGCACAACTTGAAATGTCCCTCTTTCTTACCAATCCGCGGGGCTGTGTCACGGCTTGTAGTTTTCTAAACGGGCTCCGATCGTTTGCGTGCCAACGAACTATCATGTGTGTAGCAGCCTAGAGCCTGTTTGTTCAAATCCATAGGGGGTGTCCCACAACAAGATAGTCACCTGAGGCAAAGTCTTAGCTGGGTTTTCTTGTTGTGTGCAAGTTGTGCCCCTTCTTACCAGCTTACCCGCTTGCAAGCTTGAGATTTTGTTTGTACCAGATGTCTTCATTGGTTTAAACGTCGGGTGATCATTTTGGTGGGCCAAAGAGATTCAGCTTCTGGTCTGGCAAGTCAGCTGGTCAGCCGTGGGAACAAGGCTTCATTCAACTCAGGATGTGCCCAGTATTTGGAAGTGCCCACCTTTTGAGGATGGCTGCAGGATCCTCCCATGTGAGATTTTGTTTTTTGTGTACGTGATGGTGCTTGACATGATCACGCCTGGCTAAACCTCATGAATAAACTTGGACATGCGTGGGGGGTTCGATCGGTTGTGATCGGGCTGATTCCCAAAACAGTATTCAAAATGTTTGTAAGTAAGCCAACACACCACTGTGTATTGCATGGTTGTCCTACTTGCGATTTGTACGGAACCGTACTGCCCGCAGGTATGTGTTGCCATTGTATTTTCGCTTCTTCCTTCTTCTTCTTCTTTTTTTTTTGTGTGTGTGTGTGTGTCTGTGTGTTTGTGTGTTTGTGTGGCTGTGTGTGCGAGTCAAGCCTTCTATGTAACGTCTTACATGCATGATTGCCTTTGACCAACATGACAGAACAGATGCCAATCCTAGATTTGCATAAACTCTTGACAATTTGTGCACAACAATTGGGCTAAACTTTCTGAACCCGTATATTTGGGCACATTTGCCCAGGGTCCGAAACCGGGGTGTGTCAGTCACCAGACACCGCCCGGCGAGGAAACGCCCCGCGGCTTTCCGCCCGGAGCTCCGCCCGTCGCGAGGAGTTCTGCGCGCGAGAGGCGTCGCAGGTCCTGGGAGGCCGCAGCTACTTGCGGGGCGCCCACGGGGGCGGGCGCATCGAGCGGTGCTACCGGGAGGCGCGGGGGGCGGGGGGGGGCGTTCCGGGACGGGTTCCGCAAGCGGGTTAGCGGAAGAAAGGCACCAAAGAGGTTGTTCAGGATAGTGTTTGTGAAGCTGGGGTTCAACTGGTGATTTGTGATGTGAGGAGTTGTTTCCTCGGATTTCGATTTCGAATATGTCAGGTGCGTGAGAAAGAAGTAAATTGACCAGGTTGGATTTTTTCCAGATATGGGTCGGCTGTTTTGAATGGTTTTGAACAGGTTCTTGAAGAGGAAACTAATGTCCCCATTTTATGTTGTCCTGTCGTCAATGAATCTCATAACTCTCCTGCAAGGATCAATTACTTGTTTGTATAGATGGCCATTACGCGCTTAAATGGGATGTAGACAACCATTGCAAGTGTTCCTACGAAGTCAGCCGTGACCAGGGCCCAGCCAACGCAGTTTGACGTTCATGTGGTGCCTCTTCTGTCTTGAGAGGTGATGTGGCATGCCAAGTCTGCTACTTTGACAATGCACATCGGGCGTGTCATACTTCTGGATTTATGCCGACCTCCCAGCAATAAATACGTCTTGGTGCATTGACCCCTCGTGGATCACTACTTTGCTGAGGTGCCGAAGGTGCGAATCCAATAGGTGGTCCCGCGACACGCCGAAAGAAGTTGGGGGGTGATTCTTGTCCAAGGCGTTGCCTTATCAGCACAGTGGCACCAATGTCCCAGTTCCCCACTGCTTGCCTGGAAGCAAGCGTTGACCCCCTGGGGCACAAACAAATCCTCGAAGAAACACACATCTGGTGGTTCCTACTATCAACTTTCAAGAGATATTCAACAATACAATCCCTACATGCAATCAACGCACGAGCTGGTTGCAGTTTGTCAAGAAGCATCATACCTACGAAGAGGTGTCAACATGCAGGCTGACTCCATTCTTGGGGAAAGGGGATTTCGGTCGGCATCGGCGATACCTCCAGGGCCAGAAAGACCCATACAGATTCCCGTTTCATCCGGCCTTGCAACAGCTTGAGATTTCGGCGCCGATTCCCAATGAACCTTTGGGCAGGTTGCTGTGGAGATGGGATCCTTCAGAAGTGGCGAACTGCGGCGCTTTGAGTTGAGAATTTCATGCAAGCCCACTTGCGGGGTTTCAGGGAATGAGGACATATGCCCTAAGTATCCCAAGTCAAGGCTATCCTTGGGTTCATTCCTAAAACGCCGGTTGATTCCTGAGAAGCAAGCCAACCGCAAACCACAAAAGAGGTGTCACAAAAGGCACTTTTGGCCACGCTGGTGACCGCACCGCACGCACCGCACGTACCGCTCGCGTGCCAGAGGTGCGAGTTTATGCCATCGGCGGTGGCAGCCACTTGGGCGGAGTTATCTGAAGCTTTTTTTGTATGCGTTGGAGTTGTCGTTGTTTTCATGGAATCTTCGGGGGGGCTATGGGGGGGGGGCTATCCCTGGAAAAGCCCAGGATAACCCAGGGATAAGCCCTTGTTCAGGCCTTTTTAAGGGCTTAGTAAGGGATAGCCCCCCCTCCCCATAGCCCCCCTTGAGGGTCCATGATTGTTCTTTTCGTTGGTTTGGGGTGCGGAATCATAAGCGCTCGCACGTGAGGCGAGGAGATCATGTTGGAGCTGGCCGGGCGGATGGCCAAGCTGTGAGATGTTCCCCAGTTTTGCCTGCATCCAAAGAACAGCGGCAGGGGTACATGGGCAATCTACATCATTATTGGGCAGGTAAATCTAATCACCTCATGGGAGGAACATTTGCAGTGGCAACGGTACATCTTGTAGGGAAGGTAAATCAAATCACCTCATGGGAGGAATATTTGTTGCGTCTTCGAGACCGGCGGACGGCAAACCGGTTTGCCTGCGGCTTGGGGTCCGAACTCCAGTGAGGGTCAGCCACTGCGCATGGGCTCGATGCAAAGCTTTACCCAAACACGCCTTTCGCGGCTTCTGCATTATGGATTTCGGGGGCAGCCTACATGGCTGTGGATTTTCACAGGGAACCACCGCAAGAGGTTGGTGGACATGGATCCCCACCTAAATGCCCCTATTGAAATCCACACCCACGTGAATATAGTTTCCCGCAAAGCGGTGCCAAATGAGAAGGTAATCCCTGGTCTAGTGTACCTACCGGAGGAAAACCAGTGCGGAGTCAAAGCAACGGACCCTTGTTTGGCATTCTGCCCGCAGGTTTTTTGTTTGTTTTTAAACCTTTCATTCACGAGCTGCTGTCGTAAATATGTGTTTCTGTACTTTCTGATTCCGAACATCCAAACATGGGAAACACCGCATCGGAAGATATGACAACAGCGGCAAATATTGAGATGCGGCAGCATGCTCCGCCACTCCGACAGCCAGAGATAGGCACGCCCATAAGCAGGATGGCTGTCCCAGGACCTGGGCCAAAGAGCCATCTCACATGTCGAGTTGAGTGGATAAGACCTTCTGATCATTGGCATCCCGAAACCTTTCACTTCCAGTCTGCCAGTGAGATTGGCCCTCTTGCAAGACGTCTGTGACAAATCGAGGCTTGCAAGCGGATCCCTCCGCTTTTGTTTCTGCCCAAGCAAGGGTTCATTTGGCCGCTCCGAAAGCCGTTCGGCGCTCTTCCGTGATTGGCGGACTGGTCCGCATTTGAAGGACCGCCGGGCGCCCGGCTTGGGGCAAGTTTCCTGTACGCAAAAGTCCGATGGGTTCGGAAGCAGAGGGACAGCTGACAGCTGATGCGGTTCCTGGTTGCATGATGTGCTGATGAGGTACCAGGCACTTAGCTGGTTGTTGGTATGTGTGTGTATATGTATACTGTATACATACATACATATGTTGTAACACACACACACCTACAAATGAATATGATACATGTATATGTATGTATATATCTATATATAGAGAGAGAGAGAGAGAGTATATGTACATGCATTATGTGTGCATATGTCATACACATGCATATTGGGTGTAACACGTGTATTGCAGCCCCTTTTTTGTTTTGACACTTTGTGGATTCATGGCAGACAGGTAGGTCCCCAGGCCTTTCACCTGTGCAGCACATGAGAAGGGGGAATGCGGCCCTAGAGCCAGCCCCGGTTTCAAAGCTCGTGTTAACATCCCCACCCCCGCAAAAATGGAATTGGGGAGGGGGGTGACCCCTGGAATTCCATTTGTGGTTCCATTTTCCCTTTCATGGGGAAGACTGGATAAATGGAATTGGGGACCCCCCACACCCCTCCTTCTGAAGGTAGGGGGGATGTGTTAACATGAGAATCATTGCAACTACTCCAAACGTCACCCTCAGTGTAACTTCACTGTAAAATGTTCTCTCAGATGTACAACCGCTTTGAGCTGAATTCATGAATATCAGCAGATGTGTTGTATCGTTATTGTAGTTATCTTACAATCCACGTTGGTTTGCCCAATCATTATACACCAATCCATGTTGGTTTGCCCAATCTATATGATACACCAATCCATGTTGGTTTTCCCAATCTATATTATATACGAAGGCATCTCCGGTGCGCTCCAGTCCCCCCAAAAGAAGTCCCTCGCACGGCAGGAGACCCCGCGCGAGTCCTCGGCGCAAGCCATATACGCAGGCGAGTAGGGCTCCGGAGGTGGGGGTAGCCAATGCCTATATACAGGCCTGAAACATAGTTAGCCCTATCATGCTTCCATTTGCTGAAGAATATTCATTGTTTGTTTTCAATCCTGGTTTTAAAGGGAATCGATCACTACTGGAAATATCGGTATTTGTTCCAGGCCAGTGGACTCAAGCAAATGGAACTATGCCCAATTTGGGTCTAAGAAAGCAGGCCAAAACCCTGTTCTAGTTATTTAGACCCTTATGTTACCCAGACGCCTAGTGGCGCCCTTTGGCGTTTTTGGGAGGGAATAAAAGGGGCGCCCATTTTTCCCCATAGCCCGTGCAAGTCTTGAGCCAACATGTCGATTGAACCGGCAATCAACCAGCAGCAGAGATTTGATGATCGAGGTCTGCAGTTTTTGCAATCTCATGCGCGCACCAAGTTCAGACCTCTTGAGATTTGGCGACTTGTGAGCGTGTCGCAGTTCGCACACATGCGCGGTGCAAGCTCGGCGCACATGTCGGCGTGGAGCAGTGGCAAGTGGCCAAGTTCACTACCATTCGGCAATCTATCACCAGATGCCGGACTTCTTTTGATGCAGACGCTCTGCTCACGAGTGTACAGACAGTACACATCTCAACCTAATAACAAAAGCGAGAGCAGAACAATTTTTGGTCAAGACAAAACACATTGCGAACCTTTCAAGCTGGACCAATGTATTTTGCTGCCTCGCGCTTGGCAGGCTTCATGTACAATAGGTTGAGCGGACAAACACATCTTTCTCAAAGCCAACACACCCTGCTTGCGATTGAATGGGTGTCGAATTTTGTTCGTCCCATAGCATGACTGGTCTTCTACTGTCAAAGGGATGTGATCATGACTGCTACACATAATGTACTTAAGCTTTGCGCTTTGCTTGCTCGTTCCAAATAGGGAAGCAGGACACAATCGTTGCCAACCGTTCCGTTGTCCCGAAGGTTTGCGCAGAGCCATACCACCGTCCCTGAGACCAAGCAAGCCTATGGCAGTTGGTGGCTCTTTTTGACCAATACACACCCTTGGGACACGAACTGCCCTCCAGCTAACTAGCATTAAACATGCAAAGAGGTTCACTGATTCTGCTTCATCATATCTACAACTAAGATGTGGGTCCTCTGGGTGATGCGAGGTAGGTCTTGCACTGAGAGGTCCATGTGGTCGAGATTTGGCCATGTTTCACTAGATGTGGTTCTAGTTGATTTCCCTAGCACGTGTCCACCAGAATCGGACAGATTCGGGTGACCAAACAGTGGGGACACAAAAACCAGGTCCACCAGAAGCGGAAACAGGTGACAAAACTGTGGGGGCCCCGTGGGGGAGCTCCTATTTTCCTCTACACCACCCCGCAAAAAAGTTGCCGCGTGCACCCGACGCGGTAAAACCGGTGGAGCGGGTTAAACTTCCATTTGCTTAAGAACATCTTTTGTTTTCCCTTGGTTGTAAAGGGAATCGATTTCACCACTGGACAAATGTTTCATTTGTTTCCCAGGGGTCAAGAAAACAAATGGAAGATGATCCATTGGCTTACGTAGTAAAGATATGTGTGATGTTTCCCCTGGTGACAATCTATCACTACCGGAAATACGTTCCATTTCAGGGGTCGGAAAACCTCAGGGTACCATGGTTGTTGTTGGGACACATTTTTCATTTATTTATTATTCTGGTTTAGTGGTTGAAATCCCCTCCTAATCGCTCAAATTTGAATCTTTGCTCCCCTTCCAACGTCAACCCTAGTCTTCACAGGATTTTTCCCTGGGATAGTCGCTGGATCCACTGCCTGCTGAGTCTCGGTCCCGGAAAAGGAAAAGGTGGAAAGGCCAAATGAAAGTCCAAGTGAAAGTCACCAAAGCTTTGGAAAATCCCTCTCCCCTCTTAACTGCTCAAGAATAAATGTGGTTTATCTGGTTTTAAATGGAATCGATTTCACCACTGGACATATGTTTTTTTTTTTTTTTTCCAGGGGTCGAAAAACCAAATGGGTGTGGGTCAAAATTAAACCACTAGGAATTGGACCGCAGGTTTTAGTCCATGTTTCCATGGGTTCCATGTTGGTACCTTTTTTTTGACCCACCGCCATATATTGATTGTGAATTTTGGTGGCTCCCAGCCATCCCCTCAGCCGGTCCCAGAAAAGGCGGTATAAAAACCAAAAGTGAACGAAGCCCCAACGCCACAGGAGGCGGAGGCTGAGCCGGAGCCCAGCTGCTCCCCTAGGCGCCTGGTGGCGCTCGCCCGATTCGGTCCGTGGGCCGTTTTTTTTTTTTTGGCTTTTGTTGGCTTTGTTGGCTTAGTTGGTTTTAGGTTGTTGTTGTTTTTAGCTTGGTTTTTGGTTTAGCTTGGTTTAGCTTGGTTTAGAGGTTGGGAACCGGAAGGCGATCTGGTTGGCGACCAAGCTTCCTGGGCTTTTTGTTAGTGGCTGGGGGTCCATTCAACCGAAGTTTTAAACTTTTAAGGGGTCTGAGCGGATTGACTCCTGCATTTGAGGTGTAGGTGCTGGCTGGAAGCTGTTTGTCAGACAGGTGGAAAGTGTGGACCCTCTTCGGGTTGATCTTCAGGGCGATATGGCTATGAAACCAAGATATCATGCTTTTGGGACGTTCCGAGAGGTTGACCCTGAGCAAGATGGATGGTCATGTCGTGGAATGGACGGCATCAGCACATTCTACCAAGAACTATGTTTCGACTTCGGCTTCCCCTTGCTCGCTCGTGGACTGTGAAGGGGAGAAGCCTGGGATCCATATTCATTCACAGCCCATCATCACAGTGGGTTTAGTTGAAATCGTTGGAGTCCTTCATCTATGTCCGAATCCATGTGCTTGTTTCCGCAGCATGTATTAATTAACCCCTTGAGATTGCTTTTCACTTGGATCCCTGGCCATCAACCCGGGTGCTCTGCTGGGTTGCGCGACCACCTTCAAAGGGCAACCAAGCGGAGGTTCAAGCCAGTGTAAACATGTCGTTCTGTTTTTCGTCGAGGCTCCGTACTTTTACAAGTTCTGAAAGTTTGGAGAACCAGGCTGCAAAATACCGCCTATGGTCAATTTGTTTTTACATGTTGCATCCGCTGTTCAGAGAAATCCCCCCCCCGGGCCAGCGGCCAACCCCCGGGGCCAGCGGCCAGCGGGGGGGCGGTTCCGGGGGGGTCGGTGATCCGATTTTCGCAGGCAGAAGCCGCAGGCAGGGATCGATGGGGAAAATCCATGGAACCCAAGGCCCGGGATGAGGCACCCGGAAAAAAGAAATGGCCAGTACTCCTCCATTTCCTCAATTTGGATCAATTTGGAGACTGATTAAAAGAAGAATGGGTTTTGAGGAACTTGTTCTTTTGGGAGAACAGTTGACAAGTTGTCTCCTCCACTTTTCTTCCTAGGAACCGGTCCTTTACGGGAAGCCTTGGATTTGTTTCCAAGATGTGGGTGCCCCGCAAGATGGGTTTGTCAGCCCTTTGGCTTTCCTTTAACAACTGTTTTAGGGCCTGTTGTACAAGACTCACGCCAGCACCAGTCCTGAGGCTGAAGTGGAAACCACCACAAATTGTTAGAGGGGCACAGCCAGACCCCACGCCCTAACAAAGCCACAAGCAGGCCGCTTAAAGAATCAATGCATGTTCAAATAGGGGAGGCCCAATGGATCATAAAGGTAACATGCGTTTGCCTTTTCTGGGGTTAGTTTGCCGGAAACCTGCTGTTGTTTGCCTGCAAGCAAGGAGGTCGGCTTTTCGTTAGAGATGGGGTTGGCTCTTGGGATATATATATATATATATGTCTTGGACCTCATGGGCTACGCTTTCTCTTTGCGTCTGAAACAACCCGACATGGCCCTCTCAACAATACCACACCCAGATGTTGACTCTCGGCACGATGTCCCCAAGAGCAATCTGCATTCGCACTTGGCGCACACGCTGTAAACAAACATGGGCGCCGATTACCCGGCGCTAAAGCCGCGCTAGCAACCATGGGACTGCAAGCAATTGACAGTGCCGCGGTCCAATCAGCAGTCATGAAGACAAATCATTTCGTGGGACCGTTCAACTAACACGAGTATGTTGACATGCGTTGACCATATATTTTCTTTTGTCGAGCGTTAGATGAGCCACATCTCAACGAGTCATCGGCTCTATCCTGGCTGGAAGAGGAGGATGCACCATTGATCGTTTCCGAGCATTTGTTCGGGATACCCGTATGAACCATGTCGATGTTGTGCATGAATTTTGACTGGAAACCTGTGTGAAAGTGCCCCTTTCTTCAAAATTAGTGATGCTGTGAAGCAAACAGCAGTCATGCAACCCGCCCCCTTTGGCGGGATTCAAGCTTGGCGACCGACTTGCTTAGTTTGCCGCTGAAGCAAGCCACAAAGGGGTGGACGTTTATTGCGATTCGGGAAGCTTTATCTAGGTCCCCCAGTAGTGCATGTTCTCACCCTTTTTTTGGGGAGGGTTCCCCTACGAAACTAGACAGACAAAAGTTGGTACCCTTATTCTAACCTCTCTGGAGGACCTAGTTATTTACTCCGCAGATTGGAACCCCGAAAGCCTCCATCTCGCGAGTCCCTTGATCCAAGGACCCCCCTTGAAGCACAGTGGTAAATTCTGGGCTAGGCCAAGCCCAGCCCAGGCGCGGGGGGGGGGGGGGAAGGGCAGATGTCAGATGGGTGAGTGTGTGTCTTGCTTTCGGGGTACCCTGTCACCTGGTTTACAATGGAAACCAACAGGACCACGATATATCTGGAGTTATCTTGACACAGATGGAAGTCAGAGTCAAAATTGAACTTAAGGGGCTGGATCGTTGTCCTATGAGCATGTGGTGTTTTTAGTGCCCCATTCCGCATTTCCAGCTCGGAAATTTCTTGGAAAGCCTTTCCGCAGGTGCACTTTGTGGGCCAACAAGCACAGATGTGGTCAACTTTCTCGTTTGGAAGACGCCGCTTGTAAAGAAGAAGCCTGGCACCCGGTTTTTTTGGTGTCATTCTGGGCTTGGGTGCTTTGCTCTTTAGCTTTCCGGTCAAGATAGCGACAAGCTGAGGTTCAGTCAGCTGATTGCGCTTTGTTTGTGGCGAAATTGGGAGGAACGTGGGGGTTCCTCACTCCGTTTCTATCACAATGGCGCCGGCTCACCTTGTCCTTGTCCATGGTTTCGAACATATCTTGGCTGCGGCTATGGGTGATTCCAACAAATGATCTTCTGTTTAACGGAGTTGAGCAACAGTTCACGACTCGACACTTTCCTCTCATCCACAAAAGCCATGGGACGAACTCGAGTTTTCTCTCGTGCCCACAGGCAGCCGGCCATGGCCAGCTGCCTTAGTTGCACGGATCTGATTCCACGAAGCGAGCGATTGGACATGAGCACCAAGACCTCTCGAGGGAACCCCTTTATCTTCTAGAAGAACTTAGGGCTCTCTTGTGATAGAGTAGCTGTCGGAGTAACTTATTTGTATCGGCTTGGCAAAGTTTGGCGGAACTTACTGTAGGTCTACTTGCAGATCCCTTCTTTCGGCTTACCATTTGTTCGATGCCATGCGCCAAGTGCTGGGATCTGGTTTTCTGGTTTGGCGAAATCTGGTTGGAAGCCTTTGGCCGGTGTTGACGGGGAAGTCAACAGCGTACCGGTCAGACCCTTATTCGGGAAATCAAGTGCCCCGCAAGTGTAGAAGCTCTCTCGGAACTGTTTTTCAGAAAGGAAAAGGCATTCATCGAAACATGGGTTATAAAACCTGTCAACCTCCACCAGTTTAGTTTTTGTCTTGGGTCCAGTGGAAAATCCGAGCTGAAAGTAGTTCTTCTGGCAAGTGTGCGGCACGGATTCCTTGGCACAAAATCCTGGTACCCTTGGAACCAGCTTACAGCTTTGCGCTTACGAAGGCAACTACTTCAATCCCAAAGGTTGAAGGTCGAGGAGGCTCCTTGCACCTTGGTTTCCCAACAGGACACCATGCGCCGAAGGGTCAGTGTTCCCTTCAGCCAATCGGAGTCCGTCTCAGTGACCTCGGATTTTTTTGTTTTTGAGCTGAGAGGGCGAGCTTGTGCCCCGAATCAGCTCGGCGTGGAACCACGACCCGGAAGAGCCATGGGTCAGAACCCAAATTTGAAGTGTCGCCATGAAGGGTCATGCAGGCCCAAGTTTTTTTGTTTTGTTTTTTTATTATTATCTGGCTCCCTGAGTTCCTGGACGTTCTACTTTTCGGGGCGCAAGTGCTCGCAGGCCCTCCGGAAGCCAAGCGGGCCAGGCAGGGTTCGGAGAAAGTTGAGCCGATCTTCCATGGCTCCATGGGTGGCTCGTTCGCCTGTTTGGGGTGTGTGTTGACGAGAACACAAGAGAAACCACGAATTTGGGCGGGGGGGCCCGGCAAAAAACACAACAAGCCCATATATGCACCTGTTTTATTTTTCATTCTGGGATTGCAAGAGCTCCCCCCCATTCAGTTCATGTTTTCCTCAAAAGACAACACAATGTCTGCTTGTTTTTTGTCAGACCCGCAGGCATTTAAATAGCACCTGGCAGATATTCGGCAAACGGAAGTATCATCGCCTATAGTATCCCAGGTGGGAAAACATAGGGGTCAGTCCGGAGGTTCCGGTTGCCCTGTCCGAGGATTCTGCCTGGCACAAAGGCCGCTAGTTTGCCACAGCAGAACTTCAATCGAATCGCGTCAAGCATTGGGGATTTCATGGATTTCAACTTGAAGTTCGCAATCGACATTCCGCTTTGCACGTACGCTGCACACATTTTACATGACTGCTGTTGAGAGACGCTCAAATCAGGCCCTTGGGGCTGGACGAGGCTCTGACAAAATACTTGATCTACTGGGGGCTTTTGAGGGAGGCAGCTACCGAGTCGATGCAATTATGCATGTGGTGATATGCGCCCTATGATCAATGCATGTGCTTCCTTTTCCGGGCAAACGCTGATCATCCAGCGTGTCTCAAATGTTTTTTCCAGTTGTCCAGTTGTCCAGTGGTCCGTCTCTGATTTCATATCGAAAGTGATTCCACCGGATCTGACCTTTTTTGTTTTGTAATAGAATCCCATTTGCCGCCATGGCAACGAAAGAGGTTCGCACATAACTTGAAACCACATCCATGGAATCCATGTCCCTCATTGGCAACGCACTCCCAGTCGGCTCTCAACTGCCTTCGCGTTTTGCAAAGATGGTTTGATGGTGGTTGTTGGAAAACATGAACTGCTGAAATTTAAATGTTTGCTCCCTTTGCAACGTCAACCAAGGGTTTTTTCAGGTACTCGTACAACGAAAAGCTTTTAGACTTCTGTTCAATCCACTCACGAGTCAACCAGAAAAAAACAGATTTCGTCGTGCGCGCCATCCCGATAGGCCCGAAGCCAAAAGGGCATTGGCCGCGCCGGAGGTGCGGGGAGCATTTGGGTGACTGGGCGGTGTGTGCTTTTGAGGATACCCTTTTTGGGCTTTGAGGCGACACCAAAAGGGTACCAGCCGTTTTGTGGGTTCTAATTTGAGACAAGCCCCCTGGTTGAGCTTACTCTCCAGATATCCTGGAGCCCAAAACGGGAATCTCCAACATGCAATTTGTTTGGTAAACCCAACAAGGGAATTAATTGCAACACTCTCCCGTTTTCGGGTTCCATGCTCATTTTGCAGAAGAGGTCCCGAAGAGAACGAGGGACTTGCATCTTGGGAATACCGCTTATGCCACACAAAATCGCCGCAAAGGTCACATTGATCTTCCTCACATATTGGTCTCCACAAAGCATTCAGGTATGCACTGTTCCGACTACGCCAGCCAGGAAGTGTTGGCTAGTCACAAAGGCAGGGTGCAGATGTTCGTGATGTGGTTGGGCGAGGGTTGCATGCGGGCAAGTTATAACGAGCTCATCCAGGAGCAAAAGTCGAACAAGTTCCCCCATGACAAAGATCCTACACTACAAGGGATTCCTTATGTCTGGTCATGCTGTTTAGTGACTTGCCCACGGTGTGACACAGGCAGAGGGTCAACCTGGGCGCTCAGTGCTTGGTTTCCCTTCAGCTGTCCTTGGAGAACCAACTGAGCCGGGGGGTGGGGTCTCAGAGACTCACCAATGACCTCTCACGATCTCGATCGCGCCACCGAGGAGGTTCCCCGGCGCGCCTCTGAGCCAACGCCGCCGGGAAGCCAAATGTCTGCGCCGTACCGGACGCCACAACTCCTTTTGCTTTTGGTATGTTTTGGCTCATGCTGGGCAATGGAAGATTGGCCAAAAGTTCATGTTGGTCTCACTAAACATGAGCAACCAGACACAGGGCAATGGACAATTTACAACAGTCCCATGTCAGTCTCACTAAACATGAGCAACAGACCATATATACCAAGAAACCAGCTATGCCTTAGGCTGTACGGTGTAGGATGAGATGAACACCAGTCAATATTTGTTGTCCGCAGTTGAGGGAATGGCATTGGGTACACGAGTCCTCAAACTGCTGGGATATGGAAGTCACCAAAATTGTCCCATGCCTTCTGGCTTTAAAGTAGCCCACGACCCGTCCCATTTCCTTACTACGTAAGGATATGTGTGATATTTCCCCTGGTGGCGGTCTATGACTACTGGAAGTATGGTTTACTTCAGGGTACTTCAGCAAATGGAGACCCCTTAGCCTTTTAGCTTTGTAGTGTTTAGTGGTAGTTTCCATTTAGCCCACTAAAAGTTAGTCACTTTTAGCGGGGCATCTGAGGGCAGCCCAGTCGACTGATGGGCCAATTCACCGCCCCTTGGATTCCATAGCGAGGCAAGTGGAGGCCTTGCTGCACACCATCAGCCGCACCTCCTCCCCGCCCGGAGCCAAGCCGATGAGCTCGTGGTTTAGCTCCCCCAATGCCCTTTACGGGGGAGGGTTCCCCTACTTATTCTAACCTCTCTGGAGGACCCAGTGGTGCCTTGTGGCTCGAAAAGGGGGCAACCAAGCTGCTCAGTTTCTGGGATCTCCTTTGGATCTGGAAGCGCATTGCACAGTTTCTGGGACTTCTTTTGAATTAGTTTACATTTTGAGGCTCAGTGAATGTTTGCCAGAATATGTTTTTGCTTGGGGGCGATAGCTGAGATAGGTTTGCTTGAGTATGGAGCCCACAGGTTTCAGTTTGGTTCCAGTCGCTTATCAGTGCAATCACCTTGGGTTTGCGGACATGACTCATCTTTCATGTCTTGGGAATGGGCAACTTGACACGATTTGGGAAATGGCATCGCAAGCTTTTGTGTGTGTGTGAGGGGGGGGAAGCTGCGGCTGAGCGGAGCCTTTTTGAGCAGATGGCAACCCGCAGCTCCTTGGACTTCCTCAGCCAAGTCTGCACTTTGCAGGGGGGAAATTGGTGGAGGTCTTGAACAGCATTTTGACCATTGTTTGTGGTTTCCTTTGAGGGAAGCCCCAAGTTCATTCCCCCACACCCTGGGTCATTCTTTCCCTACTGAGCAGCGGCAAGGTTTTGAACAGCATCTGAGCGATCCATTTCTGCGACTGTCGCCCTTAGCATTCTTGGGACGATTTCAGGGCCGAAAGCTGTGCTGCGCTTGGTTGCCTTCGGATCGTCCTGATATCCAAGGGGGCTTACTGCTCGGCGGTTGTTTTCCTTTGGGTTCCCTGTGTCAGCCTTTGGCCTACCTCCACTTCCTTGTGAATCACTGCAAAAGGGGAGGTCCTTCTACAATTGGCAAAGAAGTAAATGGCTCCATTCCAACCAATTTTGGTTTAGTCATTCCATGTCATCTTACCCCCATCTACCGGGAGTTGCGACTTTACGTTTCCCTGGGAGCGTCAAATCCCCATCCCAAGAGCCGCTTGCGTCTTTGAGGCGTGGCAAGGAGGCGTGGGCGGAGAGGGGAAGCGTTTCTTCCCGGAGAAGTAGAGACAACAGTATGTGTATCATAAGCTAAAGAACTAGACCGTGGTTGTTGGTGGCTTTCAATGCATAGTCGTAGCTACATGAGTTCCTGACATTGCAGCCTGGGAGTACAGCAGCTGCTTGACATGACATGACATCTATATCTCGAGGATTCAATCCCAAGGTGTGGTACACACGGAAGCAACCGGAAACCAGCTAGTTGGACTGGCTAGACAATTAGGCAGTCTGATGCCGCCCCCAAAACGGTGGTTTCACTTTGGTGTTCCTTTAAACCAACCCCAAAACGAGGTACACCACCCCCACACCAAAACGTCATGTGGTGGACTCTTGGCCTTTTAGATTCCAAATGGGAAGGGCGTGGGGCATGCTGAAGTCTAGAAGCTGAAAAACCAGCGGCTCAAAAAGGTAGGATCGCCAAAGGGCGCCCCAAGAAAGGAAATCCTGGGCACAGGTGAGCTTGCCAGATTTGGTGTGGGAAATTGTTGCAGGTTCTGCTGAATCCTTTGACGGGTAAAGTTCCTTGACGTAGGGTAGCATGCCCTCCCAAGCCCAGCTGACCACGCAAGCTCTCCAGCTGGCTTGCATGGGCGTTCATGACCGAGAAAGGCTCGGGAAGGAAACGTCACGAAGAACATGCAGGTTTGGGGTTGTGTTTAGGGTTTTATTCGGCTACTGTAAAGAGGATGGCATTGGGCACACTCACCAACATACCACTAGGACATGCAGGTTACTCACCAAAATCCCATGTGATTGGGGGACACCTGCTGAGTTCTTACTGTGGCTCATGAATACAAGAGAGGACCATCTCCGTGACTCTCTATCGACCTCAACACCAATCGAAGGAGACCGATGCCCCCATCTGCACCTCAACGCGTCGCGTTGCTAGGCGTGTCGGGGCCCGCAACCGGTGCGAGCGCCCAGAGACAGAGGGCATGGGGTCGGGGTGCTAGGCGCAAAATCGGCCATATATGTTTTGATGCCCCATGATGTTGCAATTTCACAGGGCCCATTTAGTACCCTCTTTGCTTGTTTGATACGTTCTTTTCAAAGTGCCACAAAAGACGAACTAGAAGCTTCAAGGTGCTTTGCCAGACCTCCCAAATCTAGAGCCCTGGCCCTTGGTTACAGCACTTTCACTCAAGTGCGTCCCTTCATTGGCATTGTCTGATTAGAACAACACCTTTTGAAATACAATTTGGTGATTAAATATCTCTGCCAGAGTGACCAAGGGCTCGACCAGCGCCTTGGATTTGGGCGGTGACAGTCACCAAGGAACCTAAGTCTAGCCAAAAACTTTCTGACAGAAGCCAACACCCCCCTCTTTCCTCGAGGCCCCTCAAATGAGGTGACGAGGTTATGGAGTTCCCGGAAGCTCGAAGGGGATGGACGGGGTATGTTCAGGGTGCAACAACATGGCTGTGGCTCAAAAAGTTGGAATTCCACAATGGGTTGCCCTGGTAAGTGGAAACATGGACCAAAACCTGCGGTTTGCCCCTCCTGTTTAATTTCGAGCCACACCCACATAGCCCAAAGTGTTTGATTTCTCGGGAACTAAGGGGGCTGCGTTCTTTCAGCGCAGTGCAACCCTTTTGTTTGCGAGGCAGCCCCTTGTCTATGCAGATCGCCAGCTTTGAGTCAACACTTCAACACCAACTTCGTGATTGCATGCATCAACGAGACCGGATAGGATCGCATCATTTCGAAGAGCGACAACGAGCCTGCGATTCTTGTATTGAAAGCAGATGTGAAACAACATTTGAAAGGTGTTGAAGTGATCCCAAGAAGCACCAACTGGAGATCACAACGCAAATGGAGCAGTTGAAGTCGCAGTTCGAGATGAGAAGCGACCGATGAGAGCATTGCTGAGCCAGATGGAGGAGCGTCTTGGAAAAGTCAACGACGACAATCCTATTTCAACCTGGATCAGCAGACATGCGGCGTTTTGACAACCTATCACGGTTCTTGCATCAAGGATGATGGGTTGTTCTGCTGCACTGTGTTGGTTGGTGGCCAACTAAAGTTTTTCAACGCCAAATCTAAGGACAACTGCGCAACACATTTCATAGTTGCGCAGCTACTTCGACCGTGTTTGGGGGGTTCGAACGGGAAACTAGTGCAGCGCCGCTCAAGGTATTGGAAGATCGCAGTCGTTGACTAGCATATCCAGTGATTCCGTCTGTGTGTATATATACATGTGTATACACAACTATATATTTATTTTGTAGGGAACACAGGCAATCCCTTTGAGCACTAAAGGGAAAATGGCTGGTTGCCTCCTGCGGTGGTAATTGGGGCCCCCTGGGACGCTGGCTTTCACTTTGTCGCGAAGGGAGGCTCGGAAGCATGGACTGCTTCTGTTTGTTTGCCGAGGCGGGTACCGAACCCTGCAACATGTTGACTTTAGTTGTAGCAAAATCAAGGGCTTGGATTCTTCTGTGTTCGTTTTGTCTTGGTTTGGCTTTGGTTTGGTGTTGGCTTGGTTTTGGTTTGGTTGTGTTTGGTTTTGGTTGGTGGCTTTTTCATCTTGCTTTGGTTGACTTCCTGCGAGGTTCGCGCCAAGCACTCCCTTGCCTCGCCGGGAGCCTGGTTTGACGGCTCTGTAGATCGGTTTGCGCAGGCTGGAGATCGCTGGAAGTAGAATGGACTCCTCAGGGACGTCAGTAGTTTGACTCAGGGACTGGGGCCAGTAGTTGGACGGGGTACCATGGGCTACTATGGGCTACTATGGGCTACTATGGGCGGTGTACCTAGTTTGATTGTTTCTGGGAATTCTCCAATGCCAGCGACTTTGGCTTTCTTCAATCTGCCACTTGGGCGACGGCGGGCCAGCTGTAGACCTAAAGGTGGCCGCTCTTGCGCTCTACGAAGCGGCATGGTGGTATCCCAAAACGGGGGAGACCGCCCTTTTGATGGCTGTGCGGACCCCACAACCCACATCAGGCCATAGCTTGAAGCTCGAGAGCTTTGGCCTTGAGCTCCGTAAGTTTTTGCAGAGATGGCCAGGTTTCGAACACCTTGCGCACCCCAAAACCGCAAGGATGTCCTTCCCTTTGGCTGGATGTGGACTGGGAGACCTCAACCCCCGCAATCCGGGCGAATTGATGGTCGGCTTTGCGCACCAGTTGCCGCGGGTGACCGCGCATGGGATTTGCCTCCAGAGAGCTTTCATTCCACATGTAATGTCCAAATGGGATTGGTAAATGCACGTGGAATAAAGACAAACGGGGTCCCCCAAAAAGATTAATAAATGCACCTGGTTGAAAGACACGCACCCGCCACGCGCGCCAAAACTTTTCTCCCCAAAATACAAAAGAAGGAGAAAAAGGAGAGGAGAGATAGCCAACCCAACACCTCGTCCTTGGATCTTTGGCGACTTGTTCTTCAGCGCCCCAAATTCAACATCTCCAGCTTCCCCAAAAGTCATGTTTTCTTGCATGTCTCTTGCTTAAAACCTGCCCTCAATCAAAACCACAAAGGGGGTAGTACTTCAGCCCCCAATTTGACATTATTTCAGGGGCCCCCGAAATAAAGTCTTGTGCCTGGCCCCCCAAGAAAAAAGAAAAGGAAGCTGCACCAATACTAAATCAAATGGAAACTCAGCTCCAAATCTCAAAAGGAAGCTCCAGCAATACCAAATCAAATGGAAACTCAAGTACCAATAAATCAAATGGAAACTCACTTGAACTGGATCTCAAGATAGTAATCAAGGTGCCCCCATCGTTGGGGGGGGGCACCCCGTTTACCAATCCCAAGCGGACATTGCAGGAACAATCCAGTCGGTCAAAAAATCGTAGCGTGCCACTGCTCTCTTTACGCTGGCTGTTAGTTTCAACAGGGGACACCCTCAAGGTGGGTCGGTGAGCATAAAACTCCTTGTGCATGATGTCCGCCAAACAAAAGTCCCCAGCTAGAAAAACATCCACAGGCATTATGTTTATATATGTTTATACATGTCTTTTTTTTTTCGTATGAGGACCAGTCGCCTAATGGATAAGGCGTCATTGTTATCAGACTCCACGAGTCTGGAACACATGACCCTGGTCCGCGCTGTTCATTTCTCGTGCAACGGATTTTGCTACTGATCGGTGCGTTTGCCATGCCCCAGTGGTTCAAAGCAAGTCCTCGTTCTTCCGTTCGCCTTTTTTTTATATATACTATTCCTCCCCCCCGTTGGTTTTAAAGGGAATCGATCACTACTAAAATATATATATATATACATATATATATATGTATATATTTTGAGGGGACTTCAGCAAACGGAGGTGTTCCGCGCGCGACAAGGTTGGAGGGCGCCGCCGAGCGCTCCCGAGACCGGGCCTGCGAAGGCGAGCGATCACCGGTGCTTTGGGGTCGGGGCTTGGCCCAGGGAAAGAACTTGGCCCCTTTTCTGGGGGGGATTGGCCGGCCAATTCTTGGGCTGGCCCAAAAAGTTGGGGCCGACGTGTCTAAGAAGGTTGATTCTACCGCGGGTCCGTTTTTTTTTTTGGGGGGGGGGTTGGGGGGGGGGGGCGGGGGCAAAAAGATAGATGCTCCTCCCTTTGCGACCCAACGAGGCTTTGCCAGAAGGGTGAGCCCATGTTGCCAACCACCAGCAATGATTGGCGTGAGGGCTTGGCTACCACAAGTCAACAAGAAGTTGGACAAGCAAGGCTTGTCAATGTAAAACAAAAAAGAAAATAAAAGAGCGAGGAGCCGACGAGCTACGGGCTGCGGTTTCAATCACCAATCAAGCAGGTCCTTGAGTTAGGGCGGTCTAACATCGCCTCCGAAGGCTCCGCGATTCCTAGCTTTGGTTCTTGAGCCCACATAGCTCTGCAAGTGTTTGAGGGCGCCTTGTTTGTTTGAATACCCGCGGGATCAAGCGCAAGCATATATTTTTTCTCTGCGGGTACGGTTTTCGTTTTTTGGGGTTCTTTTCTTTGGGGCAACCAAAGGGAAACCGTAGCCCCTTGTTGGCATTGTATATCCCCTCCAACCCCCTCTGGCGAATGTTCGGCCGAGGACCCGAGGAGCACCACAGGGGAGGAGAAGTACTTGGGCGAAACTGTAAGCCTCTGGGTCTACTTGGGTTCGCCACCTGACGCATCAGTTGACTTTCATGCAGCCATGCGAGTTTTTCCACCGCCGTTTCGTTGGGCCGATTTTGCTTGCTTCAAAATGGGAGCCTAGCCAAGTTTCGAGCTGTATGGCAGGGTGCTTTGGTGTACCCCCCCAAACAAAAATAAGCGATGTTGGCCCATACATGTTTGAAGATGGGCGGAAGGGAAGCCCAGCATGGTGCGGGGTGCACGCCTTTTCCCAGGCGGGGGAATTTGCCAGCAATCGTGTGGCGGTGAAGCGGCCAGGCGAGAGGACGGAAGGCTGCGCGCGGCGGTCCAGGCGCATGTTGATGGGAGCGGCGTGTCAGGTGGCCAGGAATTTTGCGCGGAAACCACCTGAAAGCATGATTGGTGGGCATTGATCCTCACACAACACGTCCACCACGGGGCCCGTGGATTAAGATTTATACTCACCTGGCTAGGTGAGCTGAGTAACCAGGGGACAGTCCCCTTGCCATAGCTCGATGAGTCTCTTTGGCCTGTTGATTCTTGTACCAGTTTGGGAAAACTCCTTCAAAGCCGGGTTTTGATCACGACCCAAATGCTCTGGGCCAAGGGAAGTTTAAACGAGGGATATTCTAAGCAGTGATGATAGCTCCGTTTGAATTTGTTTGTGCCAGAGGTCACTTTATGCCAGCACTTGTGTTGGGTTCTCGCTCCACTTGCATCCACCACCAACACATAGCGTTTTCACCCATGGGGGCAGGGGGCTTATTGAGCTCGTGCTCTGTTGCGTTGGTTCGTCATTCTCAAAACCGCGGATCCATCAACCCTCTGATTAGGTCGCGCCAAGCGCCCACCTCGAATGGGAACCCAGACTCAACCAATCCCTCGGTGAATTGGCCTCCAGCCCTCCTCCGAGAGTTTACGTTTGCCAGTCGCACCCTCAGACCGGTGGAGTCAGACACATTGACATCTGGTGGATTTGCTTTTGGTGTTCCCTCAAAACCAACCAACAAGGGGGTCCCTCAAGAAAAGACACATTCGACCAACCAGCAAGGGGGTTCCCTCAAAAAAGACACATTCAACCAACCAGCAAGGGGGCTCCCTCAAAAAAGACACATTCAAACAACCAGCAAGGGGGCTCCCTCAAGAAATTCCTGCGCATATGGGTGTGGCTCAAAATTAAACAAGAGGGGCAAACCGCAGGTTTTGGTCCATGTTTCCACTTACCAGGGCAACCCATTGTGGAATTCCGGTTTTTTGAGCCACAGCCATATCCCACCAAACTTGTTTTTGGAGGGGTATTTATTTTAGGATGTGTTTCATCGTTTCTTCAAAAAAGTCCCAAAAAAAACGCTTGTTTTTTTGCCTTTAATGCCACAGCCAGGAGCGCCGAAGCCTCCCGCAGCCTCTGGGACTTCAGGACCGGTTTGTTTGAGTGCTTGGGCATGAGATTCCAACGAATCCAACCAGAAACTTGCAGGCAACTCCACTGGAAATCCCTTGGCTTTGGGTGGGTACGTCTTGTTTTTGTTCCGTATTTCTACTGGGCGTCCTTGTTTTCGGTGGGTATTCCTACTGGAAATCCTTGTTCTTGGTGGGTACTTCTACTGGAAAGTAATGCTACTGGACATCCTTGCTTTTTGCCGTTTTGGGTGGGTAAGCTTTACTGGAAGTCCTTGTTTTGGGTGGGTATTTGAACTGGCAATTCTCCTTTTTGGATGTGTTCGGTGGGCTCCCTCACTTTTTGCTGGGGTTCTATGAGCTGACTGGGTTCCATGTTGACTAACAAACGCAGGCTCAAACCTCTGATTTCCCGGAAAGGGAACGCCTTGGGTTTAAGTCGATCTTCAAGTGGCACCCCGTGGTCCATGTATTTTAACGCCTCCGGCTCAGGCCGCCGACATTACAGGCCTGCTTTCTTATTTGCGTCCCTTTGGAATTGACCCCTTGCCCCCTTCCCCTGTTGAGATCCTTTCCCCCCCTTTCCCTGTTGAGATCCTTTCCCCCTTTCTCCCCTAAGACCTTTTCCCCCCCTGAGATCTTCTCCCTTTTCCTCCCTAAGATGTTTTCCCCCCTTTCCCTGTTGAGATCCTTTCCCCCCTTTCCCCCCTAAGGCCTTTTCCCCCCCTGAGATCTGCTCCCTTGTCCCCCCTAAGATCTTTTCCCACCTTTCCCTATTAAGATCCTTTCCCCCCTGTCCCCCCTAAGGCCTTTTCCCACCCTGAGATCTTCTCCCGGAGAAGATCTCCTCCCTAAGATCTTTTCCCCCTTTTCCCTGTCGGCCTTTTTTCCCCCAGATCTTCTCCTTTTCCTCCCTAAGATCTTTTCCACCCCTTTTTGTGTTGAGATCATTTCTCCCCTTTCCCCCCCCTAAGGCCTTTCCTCCCCTGAGATCTTCTCCCCCTTCCCAAGATCTTTTCCCTTTTTCCCGGTTGAGATCCTTTCCCCCCTTTCCCCCCTGAGTCCTTTGTCCCCAAGATCTTTCCCTTCCCCCCAAAAAAAAATACAGAAAGGGGATTTGAAGGAACTGAAAATAATTTCTGTATTTTTTCTAACAAGCAATGAAAAAACACATTGAAAAACCAAGTATCAAATAATAGATAAGGTTAATAAATCACAACCTTATTCATTCTAAGTAATTCCTAGAAAGATGCACACCTTATTCATTATTTTTTCACTACTTAACCTATTTCATTTTACTATTTGTTTACCCTTATTCATTTTGTATTTTAAGTCTTTTTCCAATTCTCAGAAACTCCAGTTATTCTTCATGTTTTCTTTTTACCTTATTCATTGTTCGCGAATTTTTCACTCAGACTTAAAAATATGACTAAAACACATTTCACCTAATAGTTCCACAAAACCAAACAGCCTAAGCACACAAGCAAATTAGGAAAATTAAAATATTTCAATCTTTACAAACCATAAGTTCAATATAATTATAACATATAATATTTGACATGTTATTATTATAGTATGATTATAAGTTTAGATAATCTTTAACTTTATTCTAATTCATTATAAAATTCTTCTTTAATTCGTTTCACTATTTTATCAACTGTTTTTTTCATTATAAATATTATTTCCTATTTCCTTTTTAAACCAGCCCATTACTTCAATTGCATGTATTACTGTATAACTAAGTTCATCTACATCATACTCACAACTTAAGAAATCAAAGTTATTATCATTCAATGCTTCATATTTTAAACGTTTAATGCTAAAAGACATATTGTATAATCTTTCTACCATGCTATAATACTTAACAATAAAAACATTAGTATTTCCTTCATCATCGCCCTTATATAATAAATTATAAAACTCTTCTTCAGTCAAGAACTTATTCATTTCAATAAACACAAATATTTCTAAATCATCATCAAGAGTTTCAGCATTTCTATTATCAATATCCTCGTTATTCATATCATCAATTTTGTTTAAAAATTTATTACAATTATCACATATCATACATTGACAAATATTATTACTAACACCATCTATAAAACCCTGTTGAATTGTTAACTTTAGCATCTCACAGTCTTTACATTTGTAATTCTTAAACTTTTGTTTCAATATATTTTTAACATCAATATCTTCATGGACAGTATCACTAAATTCACTATACACACTTTCTATATCACTATATTCACTATATTCACTTTCTGTATCATTCATTTCTATCTTAATATATTAAGTCAATATTTCTTTAAGTCGTTTTCAAAGAATTTATTTTATAATGACCGTAAGCAAGTGAGTTTACACTATCTATCCAATATTTTTTGTTTTCATAACTACTAAGAGCAATTTTTTTAGTTGCTATACTAAAAATTATGTGGTTTTTACTTCTAATACTATTAAATGACTTATGTATAACCTTATTAGTTTTTAAAACCGTCTCAAACTCTTCATATTTCATTTGACGTCTTACTGTGCCTTTTGCTATGCCCTTACATTTCTTATATTCTTTTTCATCACCAAAAACTGAGTAAGCGTAGCATTTAGGACGAAGGGCTATAAACCCTGTTATTATTTTACTTTTTAACTCATCCTTAAATTTACCTAATACTTTCTTGTTATTCTCATCATAACATTTATGTTCCTTAGGATAATCTGAAAAATCTATTTCTTTTTTAATTGTATTCAGGTCTTCATAAATGTCATTGGTTTTAGTATGAAATACAAAACAATCAGTATCAGTATATACCATTTTAATATTATCTCCATATTTAGGTTTCATAACGTCATAATAAAATTTATACATGTGTTGCTTACTCAGATCTAAAATACTCATCCCAATAAATATAGGTTTGTCTAGTTTTAACTTTGTATATTGCTTTTCAACTCCAACCAAGTTTTCATTAATGATATGACTATGTTTGAAGTTAGGATTACTTACACACTTCATATATCTAGTTTCATCACTCACAACTTCAAAGTCTAAATGTTTTCGCTTATCCTCCATTGTTTTTCCAAATATGGCATTGTTCATCAATTTATAAACATCTTTCTCAAAATCATTTCTAGCATTCTTCCTCTTCTCAGTGTTAAACTCAATGTAAGGTTTTAAAACTTCTTTTTGTTCAAATTTAATTGCTCTATGAATTTTCTTAAGTTTTAACCCTTGCTTCAAATAAAATTGTAAGGTTCTTATATGGATTACATATTTTTCTTTATCATTTAAATTCAATACTAATTTATTTGTTTTCTCATCCGTAGGTTTTTTATGATTTAAAAATTCATAAATTTCAATTTGTTTATCTGACAGCATGTTGGCTTTAACATTCATAACCTCAGGTGCCATTGGATAGTCATTGTGTAAATCGTGTAATTCTTTAGGATATTCTAAATCCACTTCTAGAATATATCCAATATTATTATTTTGTAATTAATAATGTCTTCTTCTTTTAATGTATCATCCCATTTTAGATTTTTATATGGCAGTTTTTGTATCATGCTTAACCCATACAAATTATTAGCGTCTAAATAGTTAATATAACTACTTTCTTTCTTTTTATCATAATCTTCTCCCATGTATTTATTATTTGCTTCAACTTTTTTAGTAGAAACCATACACATCCCTCCTCTAAGTCCCGCTTCTATCATTTCATACATTTCTTGGTCATATATTAAATCAATCTCTACACCAGTCATTTTAAGCATAGCATCAAAAGCAAAGTTAGGCAATGTATAATAATAAGCAGGGTCCAATCCATAATATTTCATACACACATCTCTAAAATTTTCAAAAATGTCGGTCAATAATAATACATCAGTTTTCAAATATAAATCATGGTATTCACCCATATTCTTAATGTCGAAATGCTTCCATATAATTTTTGCCCTTTCATAGTCGTTAACACTGATACCTTCTTCACTCAACTGACTATAAAAATCATCCTTACTCGGTAATTGCTCATCATCAAATTTATCAAATGAATTCATGTAGTCATAAGGATAAACGCCTTTATCAGTTAATAAATCTAGACATTTCTCACTCTTAATCACATCATTTTTACTACTGAACCTAAAATTATCTTTCCAGTTTTCACGCAATAACCATTTACTTTTATCTTCTTCATCTGTATTATCATACTTACTCATTGAAACTAACTTATCTAATGAAGCAGTTAAAAACCCAAAAGTGTCTTTAACACTCAAACTTTCAAAACTGATATTAATATTTTTTTTACTGTTCTGAGCGATGACACCTATTTTACTGTTGTTACTTAATTTATCAGCATTTTGAATAATTAAATGACCGTCATAATTTTTCATGTTATGGAAGAATATAGGAATTTTAAAATATCTATTACAAAAATTAAGATTGCAAACATTATGAGCACAACCTCTATACTTACCTGTAAAATGACAATGGTCTCTAACTTTTCTATATTTCTCTGCTTCCTTGGCATTCTTATAGTTCATTCTAAACTTATCTCCACAAATAAAGCAGTTTTTAGCATTTTTAAAATCTTCTTTGTCTTCATCAGTCATGTCTATTTTTTCGTTTTCTCCCATCTTCTCCTTTACTTCTGCCCTAATCTCATTAAGTTTTTGACAAAACACATCAACAGCATCTTTACCACGATACATAAATTCATAATTTGTATTATCAACAGCATTAACCATATTAAGCATAAAACCACATGGTTTATGCTCTTGATAAGAAAAAGTGTTTTTATCTTCATCTTCATCAGGTTTTTTCAGTTCCTCTGTCAAACATTCAAAATCAGCATATACAACAAAAGGACATCTTAACTTTTTGAAGTGATGCTTAAAGCTAACTTTCTCATAAGGCTTAGGCATTACTATTTGTTGTCCATCAACTTCCATACATCCACTATCATAATGTTTATTTAATAATTCTTCATTTCCAAATCCATGATTACAATATTTACAAAAATAGGACTTACCATGATG